AGCCCTGGAGCTGCAATTCCCCCCAAGGTCTCTGCACGTGTTTCGAACTACTCCAGGAATCTACGCTAGATGGGGATTCGAGCCCATGGACTTTGACATGAGTGCTCGAACCATCAGATCAGGGTTCGAACCATCAGATCAAGGTTCGCAACTGGGCATGGCGCCGTACCCGGGCAGAGCTGGGTGTTGCATGCCTTGGAATCAGGTACTAGTGTGACTTCGGTGGTGAGATGATACGACTATACCCCTGAGGGCGATGATGGATGATATCGACAAGAACACTAGAGCATGATCAAGCTGTCTTTGGGTCGTCATGTTAGCATGGTATACTTTTGATGACTAATTAGAATATGCACATGACACTGACGATGATGTGCTGGTGCTGGAGGCTTCAGAGTCTTGAGGGTTTGAGTTTCGAGTTTAGGGTCTGAGCTGTCATCCATGGCTGGGTGGGGCTTCACGTTCACCACCTTTGGGGCAAACCGTGAACTACACCGAAGCCCTTACTTGTACCCGGAGTGTGGTATCTTCACCCTCGGCAGGTCTGCCTAAATGCTGCACCGAAGACATGGCAGGGACTAAACTCCCCCTGCCTTCCGAGCCTCTGTTTGAATGAAAGGGATCCCTTGCGCTGGCTTAATTGAAAAGTTTGCTACGCTTGTCTAGCTCGAAAGGAGATGGTCCATTCTTTTCCCGTCATTGCTAAGGCCCCGCAATAACAACACCATAAGCAACAACCCGCCGAAAAAAAACTCAAGAAACACCTACAACATGCCCTAAGCTGCACCATACACGCCTCTATTTTTACTAGCTGTTGCAAGACGTCTGAGGGTCCCGCCCTGGCTTCGCGAAGTTCGCCGTCACAGGTCCTTGGGTACAGGAGTGACGCTTCGAAGAGTAGCCGAAGTTTCGGGTTTAGGGTTTAGGTCACGATAAGGATCTCACAGTGGGCACACGTGGCCACTATAAGGGCTCCGTAGATCTACGGGGGTGTATATGATCATCAGGGATAGTACCAAGCTTGCTGTAAAGGTCACACTGATGTTTGGGTACGAACAAGGGTTCTATAGGTGTGTGCAGGTTTAGCGTTGGGGATTTAGGGTAGTTATACTTCTAGAAGGGATACTAGATACTGTAGTAAGGGTATTAGGTGCCAGCGTAGAATGCGAGGAAGTTGCGGCCATTGGCGACGCTGTCGGTCGATGGTGATAAAGAACCGAAGGATACAGTACGGTTGATGATGTAAATCCTGCATTACCTTAAGGACCCTAAACTATGGGAATTATGGTATATTCCTTATTATGGGTAATGCAGGATTTATACCATCAACCGTATTGTAGGATGTCGTCAATCTTAGGGCTCCAGGGCTTAGGGCCAGTTTGGGGGTTCGGGGGTTTAGGGTTTAGTAGTTTTATGGGTTAGGGTTAGGGGTTTAAGGGTTTCAAGTGACACCACCAGCATACTCTGGTCTAGGAGTCTAGTACTGCAAACAACAATGCAATACTCTTGACCACTGTAGTTCTGATAGTTGAACTAACTCATAACGACTTTGCCGCAATCACGATGTCACTGCATACGAGGACCTCATCCGGGGTCCTTGCTTATCCAGGTGTCGATTTCAACGGTCCCGAACTTGTTCATGATTAGGGCTCTATAGTAAAGAGCACTAACGGAAATTCAAAAACTATCCCAAATCGATAGGATCCCACTACTCAGGCAGTCTCCAAAGCTGACTCGGTAAGCTCTCGGCACCAGGTGGCGCAACCTAAACCCAATATCCTAGAAACATAAACCCTGACCTTCTACCCTAAACCCTAAACCCTGAATTATGAACCCTAAACCCCCAAACCTTGAACCCCAATTAAAAACCCTAATCCCCTTAACGCTAGAACCCCAGCCCTCCCCTTCCATGTTCAGGCCCCGGCTTGCCACCATGCTCCGCGAAAGAGTCGATTTTTCGCCTGGAAGCAGAGCTTAAGCGAGGGTTTTAGTGGTTTTGGGTTCAGGGTTTTGGGTAAGTTTAGGGGTTTATAGGTTTTAGGTGTCGGGTTTAAGGGGTTAGGGTTCAGGGGCTAGTAGGAAGAGGTAGAGCGTGCGGTTCTCTGGACTCTTGAGCATTGCCTCAGCAACCCCCAATACTTGGAGGTTCATGGGTAGTTATAAGTGGGGTTATAAGTCTCCTAATATGGGTTATACGTATAGCTACCCTACTTATGACCCTACTTATAACTACCCACGAACCTCCAAGTACCATATCCCGAAAACCTGAGGGCTCTCCGCCCTCAAAGCAAGTGGCCCTGCATTGTTCGGTCTGCTTAAATCCCAGAGCCCTAAACCCGCACAAACCCGAACCCTTCGCCCCCAAGTGTATTGCCCGAAACCAAAAGCCTCAAAGCAGGCTTATAGAGCTCCACGACATAAGAATGGCTTCCAACTGGTTGCTACGAGAGCCGGTAGGTTCAAAGCACGATACCCTGGTATACCCTATAGTTCCGCATTCTGAAAGCACCAGTCCCATGATCTGCTTCGAAGCTTTGCAACTCTGCTTTAAGGTTTTCATGTCTGTTTATTACACAGCTTGCGGCTCATTCTATGTTGGTATTGGTCTACCGCTGCCTCAGGCTTATCGTAACCGAGCGGGCCAAGCGAATTAGCATACTCAGGAATCAGAAGGGACACTGCGAAACATCAGTGCGAAAACAAAATCCCAACTCGGGCAACTGAAACCTAAACGGTTTGGGGACCCTTCTGCTCTCATAACCAACGAGGCTCATGGAACGAATCACAACCCTGCTCTGAGCATTCGAAACAAGATTTGTGCAGTGCCCACAACCCATGCACTTAAGCCGCAGACTCCCCAGCATCGAAGGTGCATGTCGTTGCTACATTCGAGATGTAGGAGCGCGGCAGACGGGACTGTGTTCCATGTTCACAGGTGGTGGAACACTCCGTCCACCTCGGACGGTCAGACGGTCGGCACTAGCACTAGGAACAGCAGTGGTAGCAGTGGTGGAAGTACTGCTTAGTAGTACGCGTAGGTGTTGGTGTAGTAGGTGTAGTAGGAGAAGCAGGAAGAGGAAAGAGGAGCAGTAGCTCTTCTACTCTTCTAGTTCTTCTGATGTGACGCCTAGATTAAGTAGAACAACGATTGGTATTCATCACCACCTGGTATGTTGACTATGACCAGAAGTCGCAATTTTGGTGCCTTGGACCGAAAAACGGGGATTGTTTCAGATTCGCGGTGCCAACGTAGCAAGTACAGTAAAGCCATTTGCCGTTGTCGTCGCCGCACCCTGCCCAAATTTCAAAGACAACGACAACTGAACCTGTTCGAATGCAACTGCGGGTCTTCTGCTTAAACTACCCTATAATGGGCTATATAATGGGTATATAATAGCTATATTAAGGGTATATACCTAGGGGTCCTTATTAAGGGTACCTGTGTCAAAAGCCAATACCGCTGACTGGCCCTTCACAGCAGCACTGCTTGAGCCCTCCCTAAACCCACAGAGCCCGAAACTGTGCCGAAGCCCCAGACCCAACACCCCGAGTCTCTCAACCCCGACTGAAGGGGCCTTGATATCAGAACAGGTTTTTGGACTCTGAGCCGACATTATTATTAGTATGATTACGATTAATATTATTGTTATTATTATTATTACGAACCCTAAGCTACACCCCAAGCCTCTGAAGCCTAAAGCCTACTCCTAATCCCCTGCACCCTAGAGCTCTTGCCGACTGTTGGAAGGCTCCCGCGTGCTCCATGGGGAGAATTGGCAGTCCTCGCGCCAAGTTGTGCTCGGGGTTAACAGGTTTGGGCTCAGGGCTTTCGGGTTTGGGGATTTGGGCTTCGGGCTTTAGGTTTTTCGGGGTTCAGGGTTTTGGATTCTTAGTTTCGGGCAGTATCCCACGAGCCCTTGGGAGGTGCCCAATCACATGGTTTCGAAGCATGGGCTTATGGGGTTTAAGGCTTAGGTTTCGGGGTTTAGGGTCCATCATCGCACGAAATGAAGCTGGACGTTCTCTTGCCGCAGACAGAGCTTGTCCTGCGAAGGTTTCCTGATACCTTGCATGTGCTTACATATTGGAGGGCCCTTCTGAGCTCATGGTCGCTCTGAAGTTAGCTCTACCCTGAACCCTAGACCCCAAAATAGAACAGAAGGGACTCTCATGGGGCCTAGGCTCAAATACATTGATGCTGTGGCGCCTTCTTATCTTTCCTTCTCCGACTCTGCCCCATCTTTGCTTGACAGCTCGACTTCGCCGAGCTGCACGTGATTTGTCTTATCTGAGGAGATGAAGACAAATTTGTACAATGTGAAACCTGGCCTCTGCCTTAAGACGATGGGCCGATAGTCGCAATGTAGGGGCCTGAATAATTATTATGAGGTTTTGGGGCCCATTATACTATAATTACTATATTGAGCCCACAGACTAGTATAGGTCATTATTAGGGGCCGTATATCAACAGGCTTATTGGTAGAAGGGGTACGACCGATACATGGCTCTTCCCCTCTTGCAGACTATAAGCCCATCGTGCGACAGCACGGCCCCATTCACAGTTAGAGCATGCAGCATGGAACCCTGCACCAGTGCAGATGTCCTACAGCCCGGCCATAGGCCCTTCAGTGTTTTAGGGTTTAGGGGTTTAGTGCAGGACCAACAGCTCCGAACGACACAAAGTCCAGTGGAGGACCGTACATGCCCTGCAACATGCAAGCTGGCACTCTCAAAACCGCAACCCTGAACTGCACAAATTCAAACACTCTATCCATTCTGGCTTACATATGCGGGTCATTGGGCTGCGAGGCTTTTCTTTAACACCCCGAAATCCCCAGAACTCTAGAGTTATCTGAACTTTTCATGCATACCAACTGCTTGTTCAGGGCCGGGATTATGTAGGGCTTCGAATCCAGGCTAGGAGTCCTGGAGTTGCGAGCTTGGGTTTAAGGGTTTCAGCGTTGATTGGTTGGGCTTGAGGTAACCGGGCTTGACAACACTCAGCAATGAGCCGAAGTGGGATGCCGGCAGTGGCACAGCTCGCACCATTCAACAGCGGCCGTGTTTCCATGGTCCTCGCACAAGGAGCAGCAATGCTTATGAAGACTCACTTCGGGATTCCTAAACCCTCTAACCCTTGAGTGAAGACAAAGGGGCGGACAAAAAGCGAATATTATACCGAGTTAAGGGCTGGGGGTCAAAAATTGGGACGCAGGGGCTTTGAGTCACGACTCCTTCCTGACTGCGCATGTAGCTACAGGAGCTACAAATGCTTTTGCATGCGCAGCATCCCGTGATACCAACATCTCCTGCGCCCGGTGGAGAAACGAGAAAGTCTTTGTGAAATACTTGGCGGCCTAGCGCAAACACACTTTCGAGTTCCAAACGAGCACTCATGTTATTACTCACCATGTCCATACGAACTGTAGAAACCACCCACTCGGAGTAGCTGATAAGCTGCACCAGCCGACACCCGCCCTAAACCCCACACCACCGAAACTCTCAGCTCCAAGACACCCAGCCCGCAGCCGTAGCCGTAGAACCCTTAAGCCTATAAGGCCAAGCATTGAAGTACGTGTCCTCCGACTCGGGAATCGTCTTCACCGTCGCGGCACTGCGAAAGCGATGCATGGCCAATGGGCCCTGCCGGTGCTGACCAACCTGAGGGTCAGAACAACACGCACTGTAGAGAGATTGCCCTGATGGGGCGTCGTTAAGTAAGACCGAACTCAAGACATAACAGGGATATCCCTGAAGAGGTATCCTGAACCCCGAACCTGTACAGGAACTAGATTCAACAGCTTATGTTGGGGTGCCGGCTGCTGGGTCCCTCGTTGCCTAGTTGGAGGCTGCAGGGACTCAGGTCTCAGGGTACTGCTTTCATGGTTTTCGTGCTGGGTGCCACGCTTCAGCGTCGCACTTGAGGCTCCAAAAGGTTTAACATGCTGGGTTCAGGGCTCTCGGCGTCGGAGCTGAATGTTAGGGTCCTTTTGATGGTCTGGTTTTAGGATTTGGCGATGTATTGGGGCTTCTGGGACTGTTTAGTCGAGCATTGGCGTCATACTCGTGCACGGAAAGTTCCGGATAGCTCGGAATCCCTTTTTGTTCATCCTGGTTTGAACCTCCGAGTATGAAGAGAAGCCAGCCCCGAACATCGCGCCCCCTGCCGCCTTCAGTCGATCCATTGAGGACCTGCCCTCTTTCGTGGTATCCTTGGTTGCACTGGAGTCTCCCGACACATCAACACGCCCGATATGGGGGCAACATGGCTTTGGGGTATACCCTACTATAATCATAATTATAATCATGCGGTTCTCGGCTTTCCGTTGCCACATCCTCAAGGCCCACGTCATTTGCAGCACCCGGAGCACAACTTCAACATAACATCCCGCATACATGCAATACAGGTTCGAGGTACCTAGAATAACGCGAGATTGCACGTATGAGCTGCCATAAGACGTGATGTCATCGCAATCATGATCGGGACGACAAGGAGACAGCCGCGCAAGGGAACTAACTGCTTCACAGGCTGGCAGCACCATGCAGATAGAATTCCGTGCAGCTTGGGGTTTCGGAATCCCCGACCCGAAAGCATAAAACTTCATGCAAATCCTAAACTTTGATTAATGTCGAAACCTCAAATGCCAGCTCTCAAGTGGAAGGCCCGACTATGTAGCACCCGTGACAGAACTTCTGAGAGAACTTTTATAGTAGCCCCTAGCCCTAGCCCCCAGCCCCGAAACCGAAATGCCCAGAAATCTGAACATTCGAGGGAGCAGCGGAGATCATGGCGGCAGTTGCGGCGCGGATGTCATCGAAGCTCATCTGTGCAGAGTTGTACCTCGGAAGCTCCGTGGGCTCTTTAGAATCCCCTAAACCCTAAACCCTAAAACCCTAAACCCGAAACCCTAAACCGTACTCTAGAAGAACATAAGCACTTCTGTTCCTCCTTAAGAATACCGTATGGTACTTCATGCAAATCATAATTTGTTCAGCGTGCTCCTTCTTAAGAATGGTCTTAAGAATGGACTGTCTTCAAAAAAGGTGTAAGAGTAGTCTCCAGAATTGCCCAGATGCATCGAATCCGCGCCAAGCGAGCTCCTGGCTTAGGATCTGGGGGTTTAGGAGTAGATTGAAGTAGCCCTAACGGCCCATTTCACTGACATAGCTGACATATAACTCATAAAAAGCTACGTTGGCTTTAATGTAGTCCCTGTTTAGGTGTGCTTTAGAGCCTAAGCAGAGACCATATGGGCACATGGACCCTTAGGAGAGCGGCTCGGGATTTGCAGAGGTTGAGGGGCTGATTTCACCAAACAGCGTTTTGTGGCACATCCAGATTTTCCTCAGAGGCAAGCCACTCCGGTTGCAGACTTCACCGCACCCGAAGACACAAACCCGATGCAAACCTCAAGGAGATCCGAGAAAACCCTAAACCCTGCAAACCCTAAACCCTGAACCCTCCCTAAACCCTAAACCCTCCCTAAAACCTAAACCCTAAACCTTAAACCCCAAACCCTCCCAAAACCCTAAACCCTAAACCCTAAACCTTAAACCCTAAACCCTAAAAGAGCTCTGAACCCACAGAAGTGCCTGGAGTTCCTGCGTAGCTCGGGTAGCGAGCGCGTCTGCGGGGTCCGCTGGAGGCCACGCTCCGACTTCTTGGCTTTGTCCTCTACTAGGGTTTAGGGTTTAGGGTCCTCTACTTGGAAGGGCAGGGGACTTAGTAGGGCAGGGTTTCTTAAAGGGCTCCTTAACGGGATCTATAGGGTTCCTTACAGGGATCTATGGGGTTTAAGGTTTAGGGACTTAGTAAGTAGGTTATAAGTAGAGTTATAAGTACCTTAAACGGAGATACCGCAATTATAACCCTACTTATAACCTACTTACTAAGTCCCCTGCCCTTCCAAGTATTCTTCTATGCATACGGCTTAGGGGTTTAGGGTTTAGTGTTTAGGGTATGTATGTATGTATGCATGCATGTAAGTAGGTATGTATGCGAACCTAGCAAACTAACGTCCCGGGAGCCCAATGATTCAAGACTCCTTGATGAAGACATATTCCCTAAGTGACGGTGAGGAACCCTGTTTAGTTTCATCATCACTGTGTAATTCAAGGGTACTGGACTCTTCTGCTTCAGATCTACAGTCCTCATCCCGTGGCACCAGCTGCGACCAATTCGTGATGGTGTCTCGGTGGTTGTCATTCCAGTTGCCCCGGCGTTGCCGCTTGCCTAAGTTGACGGATTTCCCCTCAACGCCGCAATTAAGCCCCAGAACACAATGAAGATTGTTAAATTCTGGAGGCTGCAATTCATGGAGATGTGCAGGCGGCAAAGGCTTACGGTTGAGACTTGGGTTCTTCGAGATCTGCTCAGCCCAAAATGCCGAGAATGTTCCCAGGCTGTAAAGCCACGGAGACATCGCAAAAGCAAGCTTGCCAGGCACAGTTTCTGAAAACAACGACGGCTGATAACTTCAGACGCTTCAAAATCAATACCAAGATCTCTCCCACGCAGGTGTGTCCACCTCTGTATGCATGCAAAGATTCAGAAACTATTCATCACTTCTCGAACTCATCCGGCCATGAGGTTGCACATCTTGACAGCCCGGAGCCCTCGACCTCTAAACCATGATGTAGGGGCCTTAATAATTACCTATACTATTGTGATTGCCAGTGCTATTTTGGAGGGTTCCTAAATATGATTATAGTAGAATGGTCCCCAAAACCCTATTGCAAATCTCTAGTAGGCCCCTATATTAAATCCAAAACCCCAAGCCCTGATCCCCTAAGCTCCCACACTCCTAAACCCGACGCTCCCCATTCAAGTACCTAAACCATGCAGACCCCATAAACACCTAAACCCTAGACCCTAAAACCCGAAACCCCTAAAACCCTGAACCCTAAATCTAAACACCAAACCTCAGCCCAGTTGCTAAAGGAGCCTACTTCATCAGCCCATAGGGCGCTGCGCTGCGCCCTCTCCTCGTCGAGAAGTCCCGGGGAGTGAGACTTGGGGGTTTAGGGTTTAGGCGGTTTGATTGTTTAGGTTTGGGTTCAGGGGTTTAGAGATTTAGGGTAAGGGCTACTATAGAGGCTCCCTCGAGGATCGCTTTAAGTGTTACCAGGGGTAAGAGACTTGGAGGGTGTCTTGAAGCAAGGGTCCTAGAGCCTTAGAGGCGGGGTTTATATAAACTGAAATAAAGGCCTCATAAGGTTTAGGTATGGGGTTAAGGTTTAGGGTTTGAGGCTTGCGCTGGTGTCTGCTCTAAAGACTTACGGAGACGAAGGGATCCTACAATTTAGCATCGTTATCTTCTGCAGCTCCCACCTAAACCTACTGAAAAGGAGGCCTTGGGAAGGATATGTTGGCTGCCTCGGTCGCATCCCTTTCACTCTACGGTCCATGGCATGAACTACACATAATGTTTTAGCTTGCAGATTGTAATGTATACGGCCAACTTGTATGTTATGTATAATATTATGTATATATATATGTCCTATGACATTGAAAGTCGTGCCACACGACACTCATGGGCCATCTTCAGCTTGCTTGTCTAGAAATCTTCGACACAAGCCCGCGATCTTCGCACAACTACGTTTCAGTCAAGCTGTGTCCGAAACACGAGAAAGCACTGTCCCTAATCGTGATAGTAAAAGTAATAGCAATAGTGAAAGTTATAGTTGCAGTGATAGTAGTAGAAGTAGTAGTAGAAGTACTACTACTACTACTACTACTACGACTACTACGACTACTACTACTACTACTACTACTACTACTGCTACTACTACTGCTACTACCACTACGAACAGCAGAAGCAGCAAAGCCTTTATAAAAGTAATAGTCGTATTCATACTAGTCTATCGCTGCCATCTCCTCTGCCAGCGCTGGCAGAGCCAAGCTTTGATGGTCGGCACTCCCCGGTGGGCCAGATTGTAGTGCTGCCACGGCATCCCACTCTCCACGCACAGCGTGCCGAAACCTCGTCGAAACGACTTCGTTTCAACTTCGGGACACGACTACATAAGCGTTCAAGAAACGGTCTTGAGCAGTCGTCGTGACCTTGAATCCGGATGATCGTACATTTAGACTCGAGTATTATGTCGCTTCTGCTGATTCGGAATGGGGTACTGTAGCGGCACGAGTGCCGATCGTGACAGTAGCTCAGATTTAGCAAAAAGCTTGCAAAGACGTGCATGTATGCATGTATGTATGCATGCACGCATGCAGTATGCTTATGTATACGTGTATAGTACATGCAGATGTAGACCCCAGACATAAAACGTGAAGCACGAAGACATAGATACAGCTGCAAATGCCAGATACAATTACAGATGCAGAGATGAGTACATGTGCAATCTCGTTATGGGTAGACCTTCCATAGATGGATAGATGGATAGATGCATGGATGGATGGGTAAATAAATTCGGCGAGGCAGACAAGTGGATTGATAGATAGAAAGATGGATACATAGGTAGATAGACGAATAGGCAGGTAGATACATAGATAGATAGTTAGATACAGATGTAGATAAAAGTACAGATAAATGAACAGGTAGGTAGTCAGGTACATAGACAGATACAGGTAGGTAGCTGGGTAGGTAATAAATAAGAAGGCAGGTAGGTAGAAGGTAGGCAGGCAGTGTACAACGACATACGTATACTCATATACACATACACATACGTACACGAACGTACACATGTACAAATACACATACGTACGCTCGCAAGGAAGTAGACAAACACTATCATGTAAATACCTGTAAGTCGGAACAAACGGCTGTGCAGGCTTATGTAACTGAGTGTGTATGTAGTATGTATGTATGTATGTATGTATGTATGCTTATGCAGCCATGCCTGCATGGACGCATGTTTTACATCTGTTTCTGTGTTGTGCAACTGACCCTGCAGGTACGTGCTTGTATGTCCGTATGTATGTATGTGGGAGTTTTCGAAAATAGGGGACCCTAATAAGTAGGGTTCTTTTAACGGACCCCAAAATAAGGTACCCCTCATTTTCGGAAACTCCCATGTATGTATGTAAAGGCGAGGGACCGGATGGCCGCGTGAATGCGAAACTTCTCGGCAGAATCCTCTGGAAGCCGCCTTGCAGGCTTGAGGAAGCTGAAAGATATAATTTAAGGAAGACTATAAAGGGTGCCAGAACGGGACCTCTAAGTGGCATAAGGGATCTAGAAGGGTCTAGGGTATAGGCTTTAGAGGCTCTTTATAGAGTGTTCTTATCGGGTTTTGTATTGAGTTTGTAGGGTACTGGTACTGGGGGTTACTACAAGGCATACCAGAAGGGATCTAAGAGGGTTTAGGGCATAGGGGTGAAGGGGTTCGGATTTTCGGATTTAGGGCTTGAAGTTTAAGGGCTTAGGGTGTAGAGCCAAAAATCTGAAACCCCTTTCCCAAAGTCTGACCTGCGACTCCCGGAGGGCGACGAACCCCTCAACTCCCTCTAACCCTCGCGCGTGAATGCTCAAAAGGCGCCCTAAGCCTAGAGGCCCAAGACCGAAAAACACCTCAAGCCACCATCTCTGTAAGGGCAAAATCCTTAATCCTGAAGCCCACCTTTGTGTAAGTGTAAAGGACTAAACCTACATATCCGTAGACTAGATCAATTTAAAAAGCCTTGCAGCAAACCATAAAACCCTATGCTAAACCCTGTCCACGCAGCCTTGCGGAGGGCGGTCTCAGGCCGCTTTTCTCCGGAGCGACCGTCCGCCGTTTCGAAGGGACCTTGGTTTTGCAGGAAAGGGGGTGGGAGGTTTAGGGTTGGTGGGCTCGGGTTTAGGACCCGGGCGTTTTGGGGGCCCTGCGAATTTAGGACATTTAAAGGTTTTCAGGCTTCGTGAACGGGAATGGCGCATGTTTTTTTAGCTTCCCAATCCTGCACTGGGACTGCATTGCTTCTGGATGCTTCTGGAGGGGCGCATTGAGTTTTGCTTTGCGACTGCCATGTCTCAAGAAGACGGGGTAGAGTGGAAAGCCATGAAGCTTCGGGAGAGCTGGGTCGGTGGTCTGTGCATCCAAGGGTAAAAGGAGGGACCCCTAATAAGGAACCCTATATACCCATTATATAGCCCATGGGGTCCCCATTAAGGGTCCCTCCTTTTCCCCTTTGAGTGAAGGAGGCTAGGGTTTCTTTTTATTGAGCCTCAGGCTTCTTCGAGGGCCTCGATAGTCACGTCAAGGGGGGCAGCGGAAAGCCTACCTCAGTGTCATCTCCAACATCAAAGCTGCAAGACAACTAGATGCCTTCGACAAGCCTTTCAAAACCCTAAACCTTGTAGCCTGAGACCTTTCCGCGGTCATGAGCAACGCTTACATACCTGCAACAGGTGGGGCCTTCTCGACCATCTTCGAAGCTTTGCGAGAGTTCTGGTCGCTTTCATCTCCTGCATACTTGGAAGGGCAGGGGACTTACTAAGTAGGTTATAAGTAGGAGTTATAAGTACCCTAAATGGAGTTACCCCAATTATAACCCTACTTATAACCTACTTTCTAAGTCCCCTGCCCTTCCAAGTAGGGTTAGGGGCCAGTTAGGGGTTTACGGTGGAGGTTTAGTAACAGTTCGTTGCTTTAGGGTTTAGGCTTCAGGAACTAGGTAAGGGCTTGTTCGCCAGAGAGTCTATCGAGACTTGACACTTTGGAACTGGAGGGTTTGGAAACTTTAGTGCTTCAGGATCAACGGGGATTTAGGGACAAGTTGTTGGCGACTGTCGCTGAGGTTGATTCGGCGCGAATCGAAGCTGCCGGTTGCCGGATTCGCCCAGCATGGTGACAGCTCCTGCCCATAAACCCTCAATCCTCCTCCCCAAACTCTAAACCTCAACCCTCAACCCCTGAACATCTAAACTCCCTAAACCCTAACCTCCTAAACCACCGAAGCCCTGCACCTAAAGCTTAAACCCCAAACCCCAAAACACTCGACCACAAACCCTAATCCCCTAAACCCCAAAACACTAAACCCTAAACTCCTAAACCCCTAAACCCCAAAACCCTAGACCACTAAACCCTAAACCACTAACCTAAACCACTAAATCCCTAAACCCCAGAACCCCTAAACCCTAAACCCCCAGAACCCCTAAAACCCTCAACCCTAAACCGCAGAACCAGCCTCTGCGATCTCCCGAGCCATCTCCAGCCAGGATGGCAGCAGTCCGCAGCAAATTCCACTCAGGCCTCGCGGGCGCGCCCTACCTGGACCCCTATTGCAGTGGCCTCAATAATTACCTGCACCATTTTGGGGTGCCTTACTATAGTTATACGGTTGATGATATAAATCCTGCATTACCTTGATGACCCTAAACTATGGGAATTATGGTATATTCCTCATTATGGGTCATGCAGGATTTATATCATCAACCGTAGTATAATGGGCCCCCAAACCCTATTCTAATTATCAAGGCCAAGGAACCTACCTTTTAGGGTTCCCTAACATGATTTATATGCGTCCTTAAAAGGGTCGGTTACTTGGGGTTAAGGTAAGTCCCAAGAGCTCGCAGCCCGAAATCCTAACCCTCAAACCCCCAAGTTTAGGCTAGGGATTGGGAAAACCTTGCATTTTGGCTGTGCTTGCCAACAATCTTTTGGGGGGAGGGGCGCAGGGGGAGAAGCATTGTGGGCCGCGCTCGTGAGTTTTAGCATTACTTGAGGGAAGCATGGTGGCCGTGCTTGTCAATCCTGCGAGTACATGGATGAGGCAGCTTGACCATGGGACACTCAAGTAAAGTTTCGTAAAGCAAAACAGTATAGTCGAGTATAGCAGGGCACCGTAAAATATGGTACTTACTAGTCTATATATATATATATATACATATATATATAGATATAGATATATATATATATATATATATTCTAGTCTGGTATAGTATAGTGTACTAAAATCAACTAGAGTTAAAGTATGGCGCAGCAGAGTATAACATCATATCGTATAGTACAGTATACAGTATATCGTAGATAATATAAAACGTACAATATAAAGACTACATAATACATAGTCTATATAGTGTGTAGTGTATAGCGTCTCTGTGTACCAAGGAGTAGGTGTAGTAGAGTGCTGAGTAGAGCATAAAGCCGTATCGCAGAGCTTCGTATTCTAGGGTGTAGTACACTGTGGGGCAAGGAATCGAAACAGAGACCGTGCAGCGGAAAGTTTGGGTTCAAGCCTATAGCCCCAACTCTCCGACCTCTGAGCTCTGAAGTCTGTCCCAAACCCTAAATCTCCGAAGCCCCTCGATCTTATGTATCCCTCCGAGTACTCCTTATTGTGGCTGCACCTGCCTCCGCCCGTGCTTTGAAGGCTTTTTGGATTCTGGCCGCTCACAGCGACCTCGTGGGCGCAGCACCTGGAGTTTCACAGGTCACAAGGGCTTTATAATGATGCTGCAAGGTTTTTATGGCGTAGGGTTCAAGTTGTGTACGGTTTTTACAGGTCCTTGCAGCGGCTTCATTCATGTGTGTTTTATATGGGCGTTGGGGTCCATACTATTGCCGTCCTCTGCTTCTCCCGAATGCTTCACCCAGGGAGGGGACCGACGGCGGATACCCCCTTGAATTAGGACTTTTTCGTTGTTGTAAAGGTTCTTGTTTAAAGTTAAAGGTGGATAAGCACATCTGGTGATCTCGGCAGCCAATCGCCACAGTGAGTAGACTAGTCAAAGCAAGCTGCAGCTCACAAGCTGTCTCGGTTTGCTCGACCCCTCAAAGCAAGCGAAACGCCGAAACCAACAAACCAACAAAGAACACAGACATCCGATTGCCCCGAGTCGCTGCTGGCAGGTCTCCGGGGTTCTGTCAACATGTGAGTCGTAACCGCAACCCGTGTTGTTATTCAGGTTTTTCGGCACGGCTGAAGCTCACAACAACCCTAAAACCAAACTCCGATGCCTGCAGCCAAGCCCTACGCCTAAACCTTTGGAGTCCAAAACCTGAAATCTCGAAACCCCCATAGATCCCTAATAGTACCTCCTATAGTGCCCCTTGTAGTACCCTTTATCAAAGTGACTAGTAACCCGTATGGTAGTTTTTGTAGTAGAACCCCCAGGTCCGACTCAAAAACCGCCGACAGCTTGGAAGACAAAGACGCCCAAGTGATGCCGTAGGTCCCTGGCAGCAGCTCCTTGTAAAAGGTATCGCATTTGCGGCGTAAGGCTTTGGGATAAGGTAAACCGCGATTCAGGCTTTGTCAAAGGATCCAAGTACCGATATAGTGGGCTCTGAATAGATATTTGGGGCCCAAAAGTGGAAGCTATACTGTCACTTGGACTCTTTCAGTTTTTGGTCTATTAGTTTATTGGGGTTGACTCTCTGACTGACATGATGAGGAAACTGATGGCATTTTAAAGGCATGCCACGTGCCCGTAGTAGAAGCAGCAAGCGAATGCGGCGCCAGCATCGGCACCAGTGCAGCAGTAGCAGTAGCAGTAGCTGTGGCAATAGTAGTAGGCTTGGGAGTAGGAGAAGAAGAAGTGGTAGTAGTAGAAGTAGTAGTAGTAGTAGTAGTAGTAGTAGCAGTAGTAGTCGTAGTAGTCGTAGTAGTAGTCGTCGACGTAGTAGTCGTGTGGTGATAGAGTCGTAGTAGTAGGTAGTAGTAGCAGAAGCAGAGGTAGCAGAAGTTTTCCTAGTAGTAGTAGTAGTAGTAGTAGTAGTAGTCGTCGTCGTAGTCGTAGTCGTAGTAGTAGTAGTAGTAGTAGTAGTAGTAGTAGTAGTAGTAGTAGTAGTAGCAGTAGCAGTAGCAGTAGCAGTAGCAGTAGCAGTAGCAGTAGCAGTAGCAGTAGCAGTAGGAGTAGTAGTAGTAGTAGTAGTAGTAGTAGTAGTAGTAGTAGTAGTAGTAGTAGTAGTAGTAGTAGTAGTAGTATCTCCTGACACCCTCATGTTATGTATAGCCCAAACATGACAAAGGCAACTTCCACACTTCCCTACCCAGTACAAGTCCTCCATCATGGCAAAGTTTCCCTCCAGGATGGACCTAGGCGCTTAGAAACCACCATTGAGGATGGGAGTGAATCCGGGCTGTTTACTTGTCATAGCAGTTGAAACGGAACTTGAAATGAGATGAACCAACAAAATAATCAATTTCTAGCTGACCCGCTGCGGGCGGAATGACCAGGGCTTGTCGTCAAAAAATTCTCGAACATCGGAGCCAGCATTTCTTCAGGGTCTGGGCGCTAAGCCAGATACCTGGCGTGAGGGGGATCGGCAACAAATGATATCTGAGGCGCCCGTACCGCGTGCCGAACTATCTAAGTCTTCACAGATCTGCGCATCACCATACAATCTATACTAGGAACGGTGAAGATTCTGCTAACCGTACGTTTTCTCGTCCAGGAACACCTGTGGCCTGTGAAATCCACGTTCGACTGCAACCGCTGCGACGGAACAAGGTAGCTGCAGTACGCACCCCATGATGGGACCTACTGAACTGAAAAAGCTGCATCGTAATCGTAACAATGAACTGAGGCTCAGTTTCTGCATTGACATCTCGCAGTCCAAATAAGTGGCTGACGTCACAGCCAGCCCGGCTTACCAAACAAAACTAGCTAATTAGACTCTTTCTGAGATGTTGTCGGTCACTGAACCTTTCCCACTTGGTAAAAACGGGGAATGTCTGCAGCTGCTGTCATTGCCCAGTGCGCTATGCAACAAACTAGAGATCTACATGGAGTAAGGATATTGGTGAATTTCGGTTTGAAAGCTCGCAGCGCGGAAGTGCACAGCAAAACATCGAATCTTTTATCATTCCAATCGAACTGCCACAATGGAAACACTCGACCAGAGCCAAAGTGCTGATAACAAGTCGCGAGCCCCAAGGCCCTACCTGTAGCCGAAAAGACCTACCGTTTTAGGGTTCCTCATTACGGTTTCTATATATAGTTCCTTAAAAAGGTAAGTCTTTTCGGCTACAGGTAATCCTTGGAACGATCTGAAAGTCTCTGAAAAGATCGGAGTCTAGGATCCACCACTCTTCGAAAGTGCAGAGGTCGTCATCCAGGGCATCAGAGGGATGCGCAGCCGTATACTCGTAGAACCGGCGTGCCTGTTGCGTGGAGCGGGTTATTGAAATTCGAATTCGTATCAAGGTTGTATAGGGGTTAGCAGAGGGGGCATGTAGGGGGCTTATCAGGGCATTGGCGGCTTTCCAGGGCCTTCATATTAAGTACGTAGGGGGTTTATGCCTATGCAAGACTCTGGTGCTTATTCGTTCAAACTCCGTCTTGGGCTTGCGGATCCAGGGCTTCTTTTGCGCTCAAGTAGTTAGGGTTCAGGGCCTTAGGATTCAGCGATTCAGGGTTTTAGGCTAAAGCACACTAAACTTTTAATAGAGTATAGGGTGTGGTACAATGCGCTCACCTGGGGCTGTTGGGGCAGATCCGCTTTGGGTGATGGGCAGCATGGTTAGGTTTGTGGGACACAGGGTGCTGTGAGAGGGAAGGCGTCGGGAACGCCTTGTTTACATGCTTGTTTGTGATTCTCGAAGACCCGAAACCCCCAAAACCGACGCCGGCATCCTATATACAACGGGCTGAACACCGAACCACAAAGGATCCCTGGACCCGAATATGCTTCGAAAAGCTTTGATCGGCCTTTGCAAGGGAGAGCTCATCACCCAGAAGGAGATCTGCATCGTAGGAAGGCTGATCGCCTCCTGCACAGGGGATCCCAACTTCAGGCAATCAACTGAGCTGTAAGGCCATGATGGAGTTCTGTGCGTTGGGTTTAGGGTTTAGGGTTTAGGGCGCGTTCGAACTCAAGTACTTGGCTGCAAGAAGACATCAATGCGTTGAGGCTTCTGCGCACAGTATACCGATTCTCCGGTTTCGGCTAAGACGGGTTACCAATCCAGGTTATTGCGAAGGCATAATCGTTACAAACTTGCGAAGGCATAACCGTTACAAAACCGAGACTGCTTAGACAATCATGTCACGAGGTGCACCGACGACTACATCGAAAAAAGTTAATATATATATGAAGAGTTGGCATGAAGCCGACTCATATTGGGATTTGTAATTAGAAAAGGCCTTCGGATTGTATTATCGTATACTTACCATAAGGAAGGCTGAACAATACATCGGGAGGATAAATGATAAAAGCTTTGGCCTATACTGGATCTTTCTTGTCTCAAGACCTCTTCCACTGGATCTTCCTTGTCTTATCACCTTTTGCGGAGTAGCAGAGTGCCCGGAGGTTAGAAATACGTGGCCTCCTGGCTAGAGGTGGCACGTCGTGAAATTGATTGCAGTACTCTGTTTTTCCGTTGGAGTACCCCACGAATTCTGTTTGTTAGGATTCTACGGTGTATTGAGGTGCTCTGTTCTATGAAACCGCGACTAAGTCAAGCCTTCGTCCTACAGCAGAAATTTTGGTAATTCACGGTGTTCTACCTTCCTGACCTTCCGGCATCCTCGCAGAACTAACGGTTAACCTTGGGGAGACTACATAGTGGCTATAGAATCCCCAAAAACATCAGAGGTTATCTGATCTACTACTAGGAGACGACGTCTCTTTGGGTACCCTGTTTGTTTGGTGCCGTATTATAATAAGGACCCAACAAGGGACCATAATTTTGACAACCACCCATGGGGCTCTGAAGGTGACAAAGGCAACAGCTGAGGAGTCTGCGGGCGATGGCTGCATGGATGACCAGGCTGCAGTACATCTTCAGAAGCTGCTCTGAAGACAAACACCCATCACTGTCCTCGGATCATTTTCGGTTAATCGCATCAAGTAGGACAGACCCGGGGGTTCAGGGCCGTGGGAAGCGAAGTTTTCCGGTCTTAACATGCCAGGTATGGTAGCACTTGAATCACTTGAATCAAGCTCGTTGTTCGCAGACTCTCGGCTGCTACCAATCGGGCCACAGAACGGACCCGTGTGCCTTTTTTAGCCGAATAGGGTTTTTGGGGTAAATTACTGCGTAATTATGTGGAGACTACATTATAAGGGCATCGGAATACCGATTCGTCAGACCCCTGTCGAATCCGAAGGGACGACCCAGCAGGCCCCACCAAAACTGGTGCTGCCAAGCGACGGTGTCGAAGACAGTGAAGATGAGGCGTGCCTATCATGCAACTTGCGCGAGATATCTTCGCATGCCCGGCAGAGCCCCAATGCCAAGCCTGGCCTAGCAGACCCCCAAACAAGATCTCATGGGAGCCTAAACTCTCCTTCTTGACCAGCCACAGTGATAGCCCTCATCCCTTAAAGAGTCTGGACCTTGTCGCAGCGACTTCCATTGGTTGCCAGCAGCATGACGGCTACAGCAAGGTCAGGCAAGAACACCTGACGGTCCGTTGTTGAAAATGCCCCAGCCGTGGATTATAGGCAAAGATAAAGATGATGCCCACTTGTGGACGAAATTCTCATATACATACTCATCATATGCATATACCAACACAGGGCAACTACGAGGAACAGGTGTGTGGGTGTGTACACACACACACGCACATATTAATATATATATATATATATACATGCACACACATGTATTCACATGGATGAGTGTGGGGTTAAGGGCGTAGTGGTCCAGGGCTGAAGGTTCCATATGTATGTATTGTGTATGCATGTATGTATGATGTATTTGTAAATGTATTTGCATAACCGTCTGTACACATATGTATGTGAATTTAATCATTGTCTTTCCCTTGCGCACGCTCGCTGGCTCGCTCTGTCGCTTGCTGACTGGCTCTCTATCTCACTCTCTCTCCTTCCCTCTGTCTGATTCCTGCGGAAATTGTCACACGCAGATGTCAAGCTGGCAGTCTCTATGACCGAGTTCGAGCAATCATAATAGGAGTCATAATGCTAGTGCTGCTGCACGAGAACTAGGGAAGGAATAAGAAAGCATACTTAGAATACTCGTATATGTTGACATACATGTGACTGTGCGAATTTGTGTACGCATATGCGTGTGGGTTCGTATTTTGAATGCATTGTATGTATGTAATGTATGTGTTTAAATATGTGTGTACGAATGTGCATGCTTACACATGTCATGTACTATATGTATATATATATATATATATATGCGTACATGAAGGCATGCATACGTGCATGCATGCATACATGTACGTATGTTTGAACCCTTAATGCATTCGCACATCGCTCCACACCTCCGTACATATGTACATACAGACGAACAAACATTCATACGTACATACATACATACATACATACTCATGTGCATACATACATACATACATACATACATACATACACGGATACGTATCTTTTGACACACTTACCGACCTACTTGCTTACGTGCCTAAGTATGTACGTACGTACATACACGACACACGCGCTGCTAAGCGATGTGTATCCTCAACATCAATAACCGTAGCAAGCCCTGAAGACCAAAGACATCTCTGGTGCTTCCCACCTCGCCCTTCCGAGTTCGGTCCACTCGCTCATAGATGTGAGACAGGAACTCCACCTCATATGCCTCAGAATCGACATTCAAGGCCGCTATGGCATCAAGGGGTTCAGGTTCAAGGAATTTGGGCTTGCAGCTGCAGGCAAGAATCCGGATGTAAGGGTAACGTTATATGGGAGTTTCCGAAAATAGGGGATCCTAATATAGTACCCTAGTTTAACAGTGGGATCCTTATTATAAGGACCCCTAAATCAGGCACCCCTCATTTTCGGAAACCCCCATATAACAAGTTAACTCTACATTATACGGTTGCAGGGGCTGTTTGACGGGAGTTGAGGTGGGGCTTGGACTTGTCAAAAACCCAGCCTCGGTTCTTGGAACTTCAACCTTCCAAATCCAAGGCCGTAAACCGCAAACCCTGAATTATCAGCCCAGCATCGCCACAATGAAATCCAAATGAACAAAGATCATTTGCCAAGCATCAATACAAAAACGGAAACGATTAGAATCTCTTCTCAAATCCCTCTAACGGCCTTATCAATACCGCATATTATTCCTATTTCCCCCCATAACCAACTGCTTACAAAACCGTGTAACCCCTGGCGGGCCTGGAAAGATTGGATCGCATCGACCATCTTCAGGAAAATATCACAGGAGATGGTCGCCTGATGAAACTTTCACGGAGCTACGAGGGCCCCGGATTTAGGGCTTAGGGCTCAGAGCTACGTATCCCATAATTCAGGAATCGGTTTTGAGTTCAGAAGGGACTGAACACTATGGGGTCGACAACTGCTGGCATCACCTGCGAAAGGCAGGAGTAATGGGCTGAACCACCCTTGTCCTTTTAGAAGTAATAGACAGAGCCCTATACCTATATCCCTTAGTAGGAATTATTTAAGAAGGTCCACTAGCCGGTCTGTTTATTCTTTTGGGGGAACCATGAAAAAGGACAAGGCCGGACCGAACACCATGGCTTCAGCTTTATGCCTGCCTCGAGGGGCGTGGGGCTCGCGGAGTTCTCGCAGCTGGGAGCTTGGGCTTTTGGTTTCCGCTTGCAAGTTGTTCCAACTCCTATAAGGTAAAAGCCAGAAAGTTGGAATATGATTATCCTAAACCCTTTATGGTAAATCATAAGGTATCCTACCCTGAAACCATATTCCAACTTTCTGGAGTTCCCTGTATTACATGGGAGTTTCCGAAATTAGGGGTACCTTGTTTTGGGGTCCTTGTAATACGGATCCTACCATTTGGGGTGCTATATTAGGGTCCCCTGTATTGGGAAACTCCCATATGGATCTATGTATGTGAGAGTTTCTTGGATGCTCTGGAGTGCAGAGTCGTGGGTGATTCAAGAACATTCGAACACACGGAGGCATTGCAGGGCCTGTAATGATGAGAACAGAGTTTCGGGGTCTCACAGTCGAGTTATGCATTAAAATGCGGGAAGGGGCAGTAGTGTTAACATGTCAGACTTCAAAAACTGTGCTGATTGGAAGATGACTTCAAAGGTACAATGTGGTCCTTTACAGTAGCAGTATTCGCCAAGTATCATAGCACGATCTAAGCCTTAAACCCTTAAACCCAAAATGGGTGGTTGTCAAAAAAAATGGGTCCCTTTTTTGGGTACCCAAAATATTAGGTGCCGAAAAAGGACCCTATAACAGGCACCCAAACAGGGACCATATTTTTGACAGCCACCCAAATGGACAAGTCGTGAGTTGGAAACTCCCAGAGTTTCGGGTAAGGCGCTTTTAAACTGACGGAAGAGATCAAGAATCAAGACTGTAGGCCCAAGGTCTCTTAATGTAGCTTTTGATTAGAATGGGGTTTTGGGGCCATTATACTATAACTATAGTAAGGAACCCCCAAAATAGTATACATAATGATTTAGGCCCCCATCAAGGTCCCTTGTGTTCCAGGCTTTCATGAGTTCTGCTAAGGGCTCATGGCTTGGGGAGTTTAGGGTGTTCCACAACCCCCAAACCTGTACACTCCCGACTGTACATCTGAGTAATGATCTGAGAACACAGTTTAGGGTTTAGGGGCTGGTGCGTCGGCCCAGCTTTCAGGGTAGATTCAACTTGGGGTCCTACTTGGAGTTATTTCTGCCGGCCTCCGCCAGCTGTGCACGGCGCTGAGCCCATTGCTGGAGGCTTATCCAAAGAGACTCACAGAACCTGGGCTTTGGACTTTGGATTTGGGGCATAGGAGTTTAGGGTTTAGGCCACTTGGTTGCAGTTCAAAGTCTTGTAGAACATGAAGTATGAACCAATAACTCTTCAAGGTCTCAAGGATGAACCAATCACTCTTCAAGGTCTTAAGGGATATGAAAGAGTATCCCAAATGGCCACCTAACAACTGCTGGGTACCCTGAACCTCATCCGTTGAAACCTGCCCAAAACCCTTGCAGTAGAAGCCAAAAAGTTGGAAACCCCAAAGCCTCAATCCTTAAGAGTAATGTATAGGGAATCCCAGCACTATTTGGCCTTAATCGGGTTTCCAACTTTACGGGGTTTACTGTAGGTCCCCGAGGCTCGGGAGGGTTTTGGGAATCGAGGCGGGTCAGTGCACCGAGGGATCTTCATCTTCAGAGCTCTTTTACTGGGCTTGTCAAGACTCAAACAAGGGGCTCTTGTAGGGTAGTTTTTGGGGGCCTGAATAACTAGAAGAGGGTTTGGGGTATATTATACTGCACTTATACGAAGGAGACCCCCCAGACCCCAGTCTAATTATTAACCCCCCCCCCCCCCCACATTACTCGGCTTGGCAGTGGATAGTTAGGACTTGCTCTCTGCACATCCATGCCTCCTAGGTTGTATCCTGAGTACTGCGATTTGCACGAGTCATGTCAGACTTAAGCGCAGCGGTCGTTGTAAATGGTGTCATCTGCGACTGGCAGACTAGCAGGCTCGAACTTATCCTGGGCTTTGCATGACGAACAATCCGTTTTTTTGCTCAAGGCCTGACGGGCTCTTAAACCGTAGATGCGAGCAGCCTGGAAAGTCGTGATCTCGACTGTGGCCATTCTTGCACTTCCCAAAACTGCCTATGAAATTTCTGTGATTTCGCGACCTCGCACCGTTCTAAACCCACGCAGTTGTAGCTAGGAGCCGGGGCGTCAGCTTCTGTTGGAAGCGGTTGACGGCTCGTCGCCGGGCATCTTCGCCAGTATAGAGGGCAAGGTTCCTGAGCTTGGATATGTGTGGTTCTCTAAAGTCGTGTCCCTTTTAGGGTCCTTTTTACTATTGTGGGGGCCTAAAGCGGTGCCCGAACTCAAACAACTACCCCATAGATACATAGCTGCACAAATGCACAGCCAGCTAGATGGATGGATAAATAGATTAGGCAGATATGTAGACAGACAGATATGTAGATGGGCCACCAAAAACATAAACAGACACTCAAAGAGATACTGTAGATTGGGGCGGTAGGTGGGAAAGAGCTGCCACAGAAGTACCCAAGCCACTTGATGAAGCTGTCAATGTGACCCGCGCATGCAAGGAGATTCTGCCTGAGATTCAAAGGGTTCAGGTTCTACCTATAGTTTCCATTGTAGTTCCTTTTGGGGGTTACCTTTTAGGATCCTTACTATTAAATTGGTTAAACCAAAAAAGGAGCTACAATGGAGACTATAGGTAGGGTGTGGGGTTGACCACCGTAGGGTTGAGGGGCTTTTGGGATACAATCCAAGGCCTCGGCTCACGACCAAAGACCCTACTGCAATAGTTAATCATCCAAGGAAGCATATGCAGTCTGTAGTCCTTGAGATACCAGCTGATCTTAGTCGCAAGTAGCAGATTGACGGTTTCCTTTCAAGGCAAAGTAAGGTTAGGGGGGGTATCTTAACCCAGCTATATTCGGAAGCCCTAAGGTATAGTCCTACGGTCCTACACATTCTGCTGCAAACCCCTATATTACCATTTGCAAGGCAGTTTACCATCTCAGGGATAAAGACAAGTAGGCCAGATTGTGGAACAAAACCAAGCGGCTTGTGTGATCGCATCCGCCCGCGCGTGCGGTCCAGCTGTGCAACGATGCAAGCATCCTGCGCCGTGCTTTTTGCGTTTGTTTGGGCTTATGCACCTTAAGGTCTTAAGATTCCTTGAAGAAGAAAGTAACTAAGACTCCGGAGGTCTGCCGAACCTGTCATAGAAACGGCTGCATGCTCCGTTGGTCGAAGGACATGCAGGACCCTCGGCTCCCCAACGTTTCGCACAGAAGCCGAGACTGCATCGCTCCAATCTCTTAAAGTCTGAAACCTCAAGTCTCCCCCCTGAAACTGTCCGGACAGGCCGCAATCTGAGTCCGGCATGCAGGACAGAAGAAGGCTTAAGACCAAGACTCTATGTGTCCTGAAGATCCAATATCCCCAACCCCCTTAAAAACTAGTCCGAACTCAACAGTACATATCCTGAACGTCCGATATCCCCAACTCCCCGAAACCCTGCACGTCCTGAAAATCCTGCAGCGAGAGCGCCCGCATGTCCCAGTCGCGCAGCTTCTGGTCGAAGAGACTCCTTGGTTAATACAGAGGCCTTTTTAATTGGAAAAGGGTTTTGGGGTACATTCTACTATAACTATAACAAGGATACCCCAAACTAGTATTGGTAAAGGCGGGTTTAGGGTTTTGAGGGCTTACTGTAGGCGTTTGGGGCTTTGGGTTTAGGGTTTAGGGCCCGAGAGGCCCACAGCCGCTCTGAAGGAAGATGGCTTGGCTTCCGCACTTAGTGTAATGACTGAAGGCATATCCTCTTACTACCATGGATTACTTGAGTCTCTGGGTAACTTGTACAGTGGGTTACCGGGCTATGGGAACTATGAGGCTTGTCCAGATTTAGGGCTTAGGGTTCTGTCTATAGTCTAATGATCATCACAGCCAATGCTTGAGAGCATCATGACGTAATTTCGCAAACAGCTGGTTCTGAAAAATGATGCTTCCACTCTCGACCCGACCGACACTCTTAGCCGCAAAGCTTTGATGTTACAAAACTGTCTGATTATTACTTCTAGGGTTCCTTCTTATGGTTATAGTATAGTATAATATGCCCCAAAACCCTTTCTAATTCTTCCCCCGAGCATCCGCGCCGTGCTGAGAGACAGCGTGAAGCCCAGCTCTTCGCAGAGCTCCTGAAACTGCTCCAGCGACATCATACCTGTCCAAGGGTTATGGTTTAGGGATTAGGCTCCAGGGACATCATACCTGTCCAAGGGTAAAAGGAGGGACCCTTAACAAGGACCACTACCGTAACCTACCAAACCCTACTTTTTTGTAGGGTCCCTATAAACTTCATATTAGGGTTCATAGTAAGAACCTGCAAAAAAGTAGGGTTTCGTAGGTTAAGGTAGGTATATACCCTTAATATCCCTTAATACAGCTGTTATGCTCCAGCGACATCATACCTGGGTCGGCCCTCAACTCTGAACCCTATCAGCCCCAGACCCTACAAACCCTAAACCCCACTTCAGGGGCCTTAATGATTAGAACAGGGCTTTGGGGTACTTTATGCTATAAATCAAATAGGGAGCCCCCAAAATAGTCTTGGCAATTCTTTCGGCTTCTGTATTAACTTCAGTCTTGGGTCGTGGAGTTTCGAGATTAGGGTCAGTTTGGGCATGGGGCTCTGCAGGATTTCACCCGCTTTGGCCACCTCGGGCTGGCTCCTCCGGTTGAGGGGCTTGCGAGTACGGGTTTATGAGAGTTTAGGGGTTTAGGAGAGGTGCTTCAAAGCCTAAGGTCCGCATCAGCGTTCATAACCGTTCTTTAACGCAGTGCTGCAAGCAATACCTGCAGACCGTCCTCACGCGAGCCTAATTCAACATTAGCCCTACCCTGAACCCTAAACCCTCTAATCCTAACTCCCTAAATCCCTAAACCCTAACCCCCTAATCCTAAATCCCTAACCCTAACCCCCTAACCCTCCAATCCCTAAATCCCTAAACCCTAACCCCCTAACCCCCTAATCCTACATCCCTAAATCCCTAAACCCTAACCCCCTAATCCTAAACCCCTATACCCTCAACCCTAAACCCCTAACCCCTAAACCTAAACCCAAAATCTCCTAGTCCCAAATCCCTGAATCCCTAGACCCAAAATCTCCTAATCCCAAATCCCCAAATCCCTCATCCCGAAACCCCTAACCCCCTAAACCTAAACCCAAGCCGAGGAACAGTCCGACGAGCTGGCGAAGGCCAGAAAGGCGCCATCCGTGCTCTCGTACCGCTGCACCGCCGCGGCCTTCATGGCCTCCCAGAACTGCCTCCAAGACTTCCAATCTTACACTATGTATGTACGTCTATATATATACATATATACAGATAGATAGAAAGAGAGATAGATAGATATATGTACACATACATACATACATACAAACAAACAAACATGCACGCATGCATGCATAAATTCTTAAATGCATGCATACATGCATTAACATCAATAAGAACAGTACAATTGAAACACAGTCTACAGTAATGAAAACCGTGCCAAGTAAGACCAAGATCGGTCGGACCCCTATGATACTCCGTGATAGCGGTGAAGCAAAGCTATTTAATGTTAATTGGGGGTACTAAACCTAAACTCTCGAGACCTAAACGCTGAACTGGAACTGGAACAACCCATAAACCGTCAAACCTAAGCCCTGAACTCTCAATTGGAACAAGAGTACTAAAGGCACTCAAGCATCCTCGTGGTGTACGAGGCATTTTGCTTCACCGACTTCACCGACAAAAAGAGCTTATCAGTAACCCAATCAACTCTGTCTGAATCAGTTTAACGTCGTTATTATGGGAAACCTTACCGTTGCCGATAGTGTAACCCTCATAGGAGCCTCTTCTAACAACCCCAGTTCTAGTAGCCCTTATAGACCCCTTCAAAAGAACCCTATTCTAATTACTAAGGCCCCTCTACTAAATCCTTTTTGAGCCCTTATGGCGCAACACCGCCAGACCTCGAATTGGCTCGGGCGTCCTTCTTGAGCAGCTGGCACAAGCGATCCTTTTCCAATGCATTCCTCACTTGAGCTTACTCTGAAGACTAATGTTGGAGTGATACATTAGGCTTCTATAGTACGGTTTGGGGCTTGCACTTTCGGGGGGCTTGAAATTTCTGCGTTTGGGGGGTAGGACTTCTGGCCACGGTGCAGGGTTTGGGGTTCGGGGTCTAGGGTTTAGGGTTTAGGGGTTTAGGGTTTAGGGGTAGGGTCTACAGGGTTTGGGAAACCCAAGACCAAAAGCAACAGACTTCAGAACTTGGCCACGGCACATATCCTTCTCGAACTGGGTTTTCCGTATCTTCTTGAGGCTGTTGAAGTTGTTGGAGGTTCCTGAGTGGCAAGGTCTTGATTAGGTCTCCATAATTTATTCAACTCCCATGTCACATTCGTGCCCTTTTCCCTGATCTGCAAAGAAGTGGAACAAGTACTGTATGAGCTTGACATTTATCTGCAAGCTGCATGCGACGGCGGATAAAACGAGAAGAGGCTTGTTCAAACGGTACATGAACCGTTCTTATGGCAAATCCTTCCCTGAAACCTAAACCTTGCTGTTCGAAGGCACCTGAGGGCGAAGAGTTCATGGATTGCCGGCCCTTTGCCGTCTCCATGACAGCGACGGATCCGTATCCCCGGCCCAGCGACATGGCGACAAGTCACAAGGCCACAGGGCAACAGTGAATGGCTAATACACCTTGTGACTCGACCCTAAGCCCGAAACCCCTGAACTATTAATATAGAAGCCTTACAATGATTGGAACTGGGCTTCGGGATAAGGTATACAATGACTATCTTAAAACTATCATAAGTAGCAGGGGTTCGGTGGGGTTCGGAAGGGACTGACGGTCCCAGGTTCAAGTGGTAAGGTCTGGGAGTCGAATTTGGTATGTGAGCGAACACATGCAGGCATGAAACCCATTTCCGAATATACGCATTACATTTGTGCATGAAATACCGACTCAAGAATCCTACATGTCCGAATATGTGCATGAGTTCTTGCACGGTTCTGATACAGGGTTTAGGGTTTAGGGTCTAGGGTTTAGTGGAAGAACTTGGAGACGATCGCATTCTTCTTGAACTGCCACAAAGACTTCAGTGGCTGAGTTTCCAGAGCTGGGTGCTTTGAAGGCCAAACGATTCCATCCTAAACATCTCTTATCAAAACCTGATGTAGGGGCCTTAATCGTTGAAATAGGGTGTTGGGGCCCATGATACTGTAATTATAACGAGCAGCCCCCCAAAATAGTATTGGTAACTATTCCGGCCCCTATATTAAGGGAAAACCTGTCGCCGGCCCGGCTCTGGAATAACACGGCTCTGGGCCGGAACTGCGAGACATGGCCATCAACTTCGTAAGGTTTCGGGTTTAAGGTTTGGGGTTTAAGGGTGTGAGGGTTTACGTTTCAGGGAGGTTTAGGCTTCGGGTTTAACGGTTCTTCGTTGGGCGTGAGGTCTCAGAAGCTGCTCTTATACATGTAGATGAACACATGCACATATGCACACACACACACACACACACACACACACACACGCACATCTTGACCAACAGAAACGATGAAGTGTCTTGGCAGGTTCTCGGTACAGATAGTCGCAGTAGCGGCTGTTGTCGTTCATTGACCGGTACAGTAGCCGCAACACCAGCTCAAGCAAAGCAAAAAGCACAAGCAACAGCAAAAGCAGCAGTCCAAGCGGGACAGCGGATCCAGTCGCAGCGGTCGTCGCTGCAGAGGAGCAGTAGGAGTGGTCTGGTAGTAGTCGTCGTCGTAGCAGTAGTAGTAGCAGTAGCAGTAGCAGTAGCAGCAGAGGTAGTACTAGTAGTAGTCACAGCAGCAGCAGCAGCAGCCGTAGTAGTAGTAGTAGTAGTAGTAGTAGTAGTAGTAGTAGTAGTAGTAGTAGTAGTAGTAGTAGTAGTAGTCATAGCAGTAGCAGGAGCAGCAGCAGCAATCACCAGTCGCCCTGTTCTCGCAAGAACAGAATTAAGAATAATGTGGGTACAATACTGGTGCGAGCCTAAGTTCTGAGCATTAAAGTCAGTCGTGAAAGCGGTTGCATAACATGCTTGTGTCTCCTATATCACGAGATGGAATGTAGGAGGGATTGAAAAGCTCCTCCGGGCTGGTATGCATCGCAACCCACTCGCATCTGCACCATGTTAAGCAGTTCCGGACAAGACGACGCTGACTGACCGAGAACGCATCTACCGAAGCTCCTGCACTTTCGCAACCGAACCTCCTAGGACAAAGAGGAGCTGTGTCCTTCCGGTTGGCGTGAGCGCAGCCTCGCGTCTCGTTGAAGGTGCCGTTGCACGGCCTGCAAATCTAACATCTCTTACTGTCCTAGACCCTCCATCTACCCTCTATTAGACCCTAAATGCCCCTTATTTGGGACCATATACCCCTATTTGAGGGTACAAGGAGGGTCCTGGGTTGGCTCGGAAGAGGCTCACTAAACAGGGAAAAGGTGATGGCACTCGGGAAATGAGGACGAAGAAGGCGGCTCCTCAGGTTTATGGCTATTGGTTTAGTGGGGTATAGATCCTAAAAAGATTCTGAATTTGATTTGGGGTACATTTGCTGTTCCTCGTTTGACGGTTTCTTGCGCTGAAAACGAAGACCCCGCCCAAAGAAGCAACCCACTATGCAGTCTGCACCTTAGATCTATAGGGCTCCGTAAAAAAAAAAACATGCGAAATCCCTGCACCCTAAACCCGGATAAACCCCAAACACTGTGAGATTCTAAGGGCGAAAACGAAAACCCCAAACGCTAAACCCAAAGTCTAAACTGTACACCCCAACAAGACTTGGGGGCCCGGCTTCCCACCGAGAACAGGCTCCGTGGCGATGCGGCGCCAGCGATGCGTCCTCAGTGTCCCGGGAAGGCTTAAGGGGGCTTTGGGGTTTAGGGTTAGTGTCCGCCCCCAGAGATCCCAACACCCCTTCACTAAGGAATATCGATTGAATCTTACTAGGGATCCTAAGGTATATTCCTTAATTAATGGATTTTGGAGACTCGGAGTCCCGGGGAAGGCTTTAAAGGGTTTCTGGTTTAGGGTTTGGGAGTTTAGGGTTTAGGAGTTTCGGGTGTGGGGTCTAGGATGGGTCTACGGCTTTGGCTTTGGCATTTGGGATTCGGGCACTCAAGCTTGCATGTTGCGAGGGTTCGGGGTTGGGTTTTCCATTGGCTTAAGCTGCTTCCGGGTTGAATGAGGTTTAGGGGTTTAGGGGTGAGTTTCGGGTTAGTAAAGGTCCATCGTCCATATAAGGATTCTTGAGCTTGCCTGCAAGAGCTGGCAATCCAGATTTCTCTCTTGCGGAACGGCTTGCGGAAGGTGCAGTACGTCCTGTGTGTACTTACGCCGAATAAGAGCTATCCTGATAGTACTTCAGGCACTACCAAAGCCCTCATAATTGGATCGGAGGGCAGCTTCCTCATAACTTATCTGCCCGGGGGACGTCTCAGACATGCAACAATCAGTTATCTGCCCCGGATGAACCCTGAAATGCGAAGCCAAACTCTGCTGCACATGACTTCCCTTGCAGGGGACGGCCTGCTTTTGGTATTTGCGAGACCACAGAGTCTGAACTTGAATCCTCCCAAACCCGGAACCCTGTACCCGAACAAGCCCGAGGGCAAGCTAGCATGATTGCGTGTGTCGTGTGTCGGCTCCTTTGGGACTTCTTCGCACAGCTTCAAAGCAGCAGTAGCAGTAGCAGCTATGCGTAAGCAAGCCCCTTCCAGGCAACCCAACTCAAAGCAGGCCATACCCATGCGAACACTTCTGTTTGCGGGAGGGGGGGGGTGCGGCCGTGATTAAAGGCTATTGTTATACAGTATACGCGCTATGCCGAGTTCTGATAGCCCTGCTCGGCCAGAATACTGCTGCATTACTTCGTGGCACCTCGCCCTACGATGTGAAACGCAGTTCGCCGAACTCTTCCAGCTCTGCTTTGGTGTGGTACCTGCCAGGAAGAATCTCCAACAGATGCAACGGGTACTGGAGCAGTGCAAGATCACGACAACGCTCAATCCGTGGAACACTCGCTTCAGTCTGAAAGAGCCATTCGAACAAAAAGGGGTGAAACTACGCCCGAGCATGCGCCAGGTGCCACTATGCTTTGAATGCTATCCAAAGTCCCGGACCATCCACGTCCTGATCATCCTAGAGCAGGAAAGTCTCGAAGCTAAGCCCCGCGAGAAGCACCTCCATCTCCCTAGGCCTAGGATTATTTCCATACCTAAACTACCCTGAAACCCCCCAAACCCCAAAGGATCCCCAAAGGAAACCTGAGCAGTCCCGCCTCACTAAGGGCTTGCCCAGGCTTGCAGCGACAGACAAGCCCAGCCAGCTGGCCTCGGGAGAGCTTCATAGGTTTGGGGTTTAGGGTTTCGGGGTCTACCTTCGGCCTTGATAGTTAGAATAGAGTTCGGGGGTACATTATAGTATAGCAATGATAAGGAACCTTCAGGAATCGTGTTCAGAAGCTTCTGCTTACGATTGGAAGGCGGTTGTTGAAACCTTGCGTCTTCGGAAACGGTCGATGGCGACCGGAAACACAACTCAGCTATGGAGACCAAGAAGGCATGCAGCTTGTTTGCAACTCAAGCCCGTATATTGCCTCGTGCGGGTGCAGTATCGGTTTGGGTTTGGGGCTTTGCATCTCGTGCCAGGTTCAGGGAAGTTGTAGGTTCAGGTTTTATAGCTCCTCTTCAACTGGACCGATTTGGTGACGATAAAACACAAACCATCATAGCCAAGTCGCATAACGCTGCGGCAGCACATTCACTTTGGTGATGCCGCTTGCCTATAAAGCTTCGGGAATAGTGGTTCTGAGCTGTGCAAAGTGCTGCTGCGCTTTTCTACAAGAGAACAAAACGAATTCAATATCTATTCACGCATCGGGCGCTGAGAGGCTGCAGAGCAGTGTTTTCAATGTCTTTGGCTAGGGGTTTAGGCTTGGATTTCAAACCTCCAAGTCTGGAAGGTTGAAGATTTAAGCTTTGAGATGCAGGAGGTTACGGGAAGTTGGGTTTTGGTACTTGGAGGATCATGGGACTTAGCAAGTAAGGTTATAAGAACCTCAATTGGGCTTATAAGTAGTTCTATGTAGAGTTAGCCTCATTATAACCCTGGTTACTAAGTCCCATGATCCTTTAAGTAATTAACAGTCACCGGTCCTGAGGGTGAAGCTGCGGGCCCCGAACTCCGGCACCAACGCGGTTTAGGGTTTAGGGTACCCTAAACCCTAAACTCTAAACCCCAAACCGTCCGATCAGTTTGTTGAGAGGATTAGATCTGCGAACCCCGCGGAGCAAGTGCACATACCAAGCCAACAACCAGGATCGGAACTGCCTTCAAATTGTACATGAGACTTACACAATTATGACAAGGGAGCGCCACGAGAAGTATCGTACCGCGTCTTCGGGTCACATCAAACCCATCTCCATGCTCAAAAGACGCTAACCAAGATTCGGAAAGAAAAGGCAGGCAGCCAGTAAGCCCCTAAACCCTGTCCCTAAACAACCCTAGAACCCAAACCCTTAACACTGTAGTTTATAGTCTTCCAACACGGAAAGCCCGGAAGGGCATGTAGCAACGGGTGTTGAAGCCGCTCTTAGACGAGCAGCTGTGAGCGCCGCTTGGAGACGGTCCTGCGGAGGGACCCATCGGTTCTTGAAGGACTGAGTCAGCATAATAGCCCTTAAAGTAGCCCTTGTAGACCCCTTTTAAAGGAACCCTATTATGGGTAATCATGAAAGCCCCTAAGGTTAGGGTTTAGGGTAGGTGATGAACACTTATCTATCCATGAGCGTCCACTGTGGCTCCAACTGTCGACTGACTGTGACTGCCACTGCTGCTCCTGCTAGTCCTTGTCCTACTCCTACTCCCACTACGACTACTACTACTACTACGACTACTTGCTGCTACTACTAGTACTACTCCTACTACTACTACTACTACTACTACCACCAGAACCACTACCACTACTACTACTACCACCACCACCCCACCACCACCACGACGACGACTACTGCTAGCACTACTGCTACTGCTACTGTTCCTACCACTACCACTAACACTCACAATGTTCCCGAAGACAGTGACAAGAACAATGGAATAGTTATGCTTTCCAGACGAGAGTGAACCTTGCCACTACTAACTAAGGCTACTACTGACTGAGATCAAACACCTGGGCCGTTTCCGAAGCGGTCCCTAAAGTTCACGAAGCGAGAGGATCCGCCGACCAGAAGCACCTGGAAAAACCGAGCATCCAAGGGGTCAGGAAGCCAAGAGTTTCGGTGGGTCGGGGCTTGAGCTTCTTGACTATGGCGTCGACATGTTACATTGCACTTGCGCTTTGTGCGCATGGAAGGCTCCTCAGGAATCTGAAGCCCTGAATCCGCAAACCCTGAACCCCAATCCTCAAACCCTAAACCCTGAACCCTCAAACCCACCCTAAACCCTGAACCTCAATCCTCAAAGCCTAAACCCTCAAACCCACCCTAAACCCTAAACCCCTAAACCCTCAATCCTCAAAGCCTGAGCAAGCCGGAAGCTGACGCCTCGCTGGTGCCGGTCGCCGACTCGTGGCGCAGGGCCTGGCGGTTTCCCTAGGGTTACTTTAAGGGATCTATAAGGGATCTATAGGGTTCCTTTAAAGGGTTCCTTAAAGGGATCTATAGGGTTCCTTTAAAGGGTTCCTTAAAGGGATCTATAGGGTTCCTTTAAAGGGTTGCTTTAAGGGATCCACTTGGAGGGGCAGGGGGCTTAGTAAGTAGGTTATAAGTCGGGTTACAATTGGGGTAACTCCATTTAGGGTACTTATAACCTGCTTGCTAAGTCCCCTGCCCTTCCAAGTATAAGGGATCTATACTTGGAGGATCATGGGACTTAGTAAGTAAGGTTATAAGTACCTTAATTGGGCTTATAAGTAGTTGTCAGTATAGTTACCCTAATTATAACCCTGGTTACTAAGTCCCATGATCCTTTAAGTATGGGGCTTATAGGGGGGACTCCAATATCCCCTACTTAAGGAATATTTTTTGAATCTTATTGGGGATCCTGCCATGATTCAAGGCATTTTCCTAAATTAAGGGATATTCTATCCCTTCGAATCAAGGAATATTTCTTTAAATCATTTTAGGGCTCCTACTGTAATTTGAGGTATATATCCTTATATAGCATATATTGCAGTCTCTGGGTCTCGGATGACTCGACACTTGAGGGGTCTTTGAGGGTTCAGGGGTTGAAAGTTGTGACTTTGGGGACGAGTTCGAATACCAACCCCGCACAGTGCCCTGAAAAGTACACGGTTTTGGGCCCTGGGATTCCGCACCTGCAGCTTTGTCCAGGGTCAGCGCTGATGAGTTCGTTTCTGCGAGAAGCGTAGTACGCTGTTTTTGTTATGGTAGGGTTTTGGGGCCCATTATACCAGACATGTAAAAACGGAACCCCCGCAATAGTATAGGTAAGCAGTAAAGCCTCTATACTTGGAAGGGCACGGGACTTAGTAAGTAGGTTATAAGTAGGGTTATAATTGGGGTAACTCCATTTAGGGTACTTGTCACACTACTTATAACCTACTTACTAAGTCCCCTGCCCTTCCAAGTAGTTCCTTTCTCCGGTCTGCCGAATGCTTGGAAAGCTCAAAGACCTATGGCAAGCCGGGACAGAGAACTTACTTGCTGCGAACTCCCGCTCCACCTAACATCACTCTCCTCCCTAATCCTTCGGGACGTGACACCCTAAACACTAAATCAATAGCCGACAAACCAGAAAACTACTATATCCAAAACCCCAAACTCTGAGAATTGAAACCTAAAACCGAAAGCTTTTATCCTAAACTCCTCAACCTTGCACCCCACAATCGTCAACAGCGCCCCGGCGCCACCTCCGACACGAGCCTCGGCTCACGAGAGCTTCAGACTTGAAGGTTGGGGCTTTAGGGCTGAGTTCATAAGCCCCCAAAAATGTACACTTTCAGTTTAATAGTCGTGGGTAATATTATGCGAAAAACTTTAAAGTGTCTATCGACTCAGCTACTAAGTTTAGGGCTCAGGGGTTAAATTAGGGTTTAGCGGTTTAGGCTGCTTGGGGCTTTTGGAGCTCGCTGCTTCGGAGATCAACAAGAACATTTTCTAGGTTTATGGTTTAAGAGAGGCATAAGGCAGTGGAAATCTGCCACCAAGGGTTTAGGATATGGCGGCAGATCTATGTTGTGTTACAGGCTTGAGTAATTAATATAGTGCCTTACATTAGTATATAGGATGCGGGGGGGCCTCAGTATACGCAAATAGCGCAGAAAAGGGGACTCTTATGAATACGTCAGACTCCCGACCTCTGTTGAAGGCTTTCCGGTCTAGGGTCTTCGTCTTCAGGAAATGAGGCTGTCTTTGCAATCGGCCGGAAGCCCTCAGAGTATTGAATTTAGCAGTCAATGTTCAGGGTCCAGCGTCCAGGATCGGGGATTTATGGTGGGGAAGACGCATTGGGGGTCTTTGGTGAGGAGACTATGCCTGTTTTAACCACCTTGCTTGCATTTGTTAACTCAGAATCACTCATACCTGAGATGTTTCAAAAACTCAATCTGACATACTATGTTATAAATGACCTAAACCACGTGTGCCCACATCAAGATGGGTTCTGCGCCCCATGGCCAGGCGGCGCAGGAACTCCGGGAAACGGGGGCGTTGGCTCCGCCGCTGCGGCGTCCAGGCTTGGTGCACCCAGAAGGAGAGTCTCGGTGGCTAAAGGACTTCTTGAAAGCTTCTTCGTGTACTCGTCGGGTAGTGTCGTGTACGCTTTGAGGGTTAGTGAAAGGGTGCGAGCAGCAGCAGCAGCAGGAGGAGGAGGAGGAGTAGTAGTAGTTGTTGTTGTAGGAGTGGTAGGAGTGGCAGCGGTGGTAACGGTGGTCGCAGTCGTCGTCGTAGGTAGCAGTAGCAGCAGCAGCAGTAGCAGCAGCAGTAGCAGTAGCAGTAGTGGCAGCAGCAGTAGCAGTAGCAGTAGTGGCAGCAGTAGCCGTAGCCGTAGCCGTAGCAGTAGCAGTAGCAGTAACGGCAGCAGCAATGGCAGCAGGCATCGTCGTAGTGGTGATGATGGTGGTGGTATTGGTAGTGGTGGTACACGTGGTAGTGGTGGAAGTGGATAGTGAGCTGGTAGTGCTGGTAATCTTGGTTGTGGGGAAGTCTATATAAGTCAAGTGGTCGTGGTGGGAGCAGGAAGTGTGGTCATCAAAATAGCAGTAGAACACTGTCGGCTATCGAAACAATGGTTTGCGTTGCTGCTATGCTTTGAACATAGGCATGATCATGCTGCTGGCTAGGAGTATTGTCAACGTGTTCTCGCGACTGCACGCACGACAGCTCGCACGCCAACTGATAGTCACGATGAGAACACTCGCAACAACGATCATAGAACAATGATGGGAATGATATTCCAAACCCAATAGCCCTAAAATCGACGCCCAAAATCCTTAAGCCAACACCATGAGGCCTCCATAAAGCCCTGTGAAAGTCTATCAGCTATCATACCCATAAGTCCCTTAACGAATCCTAGGCCTCAAACTGGGAGTTTCCGAAAATAGGGGACCTTAATCTAGTACCTTAAATAGTAGCATCAGCATTAGAAGGACGAAAATAAGGTACCAATTTTCGGAAGCTCCGAAATCAACACCAACCAAATCGTGGAGTCGGGAAACCTCAGGGACCTGACGCGAAAAGGAGGTCACTTCAATCACCTGACGGGAATCTCAGCTACGGTTTAAGTTTTGCGGCTTTGGGGGTTCGGGCGTAGTCTGATGGTTTGAAAAAGCACCCTAGAGCCCTGATTGCTATGCTGTAGATTTTGTAGATCCTGAGCCCTGAAGCTGTTCTCAGAAACCTGCGCCAAGGAGAGACTTGAATATCCCCTCGGAGGCCCGAAAGGGAAACAGCGAAACTGCTTGAAGCAGGCCTCTGTACGGAAATCTACCTGCCCAGACCCCCGGGAGGACCTAGAAAGTAGATCCCCTCTCCTAATTTGGGGCCCTATACTACTAAGGGTAGTTTACAGGAGCCCCCATTAATGGATCTACTTTTTGGATCCTCCCGGGGGTCTGCGTGAGCCTATCGATTGGATGTTTGTGGCATCGCAAAGGAATGCAGCTCAGGGGCTCCTGTATGCAGCTGAATTAGAAGTCAAGGATTTAGGCTTTAAGGCCTACCCGGACCCTAAGGAACCTACCTTTTTTGGGGCTCCCTATCTGTATATAAGGCCCTAAGAGGGTAGGTTATTTGGGGTTAAGGCGTATCCGCTAGTTTTGGGTTCAGGGTTTCATGCTAACTGACACAGCTGAAGCCCCTTGCCTGACCGTCTGGCAGCGTGTGCCGGTAGGGCTCGTCGGGGGGCAGGCTTGCCAGGGGCACATGGGCGCAAAAGCAGACCTGATCTTATCATCGCAGATTTCAAGCCAGTCGCTGCTGACTGGTGCTTTCACTATCGTAGTCAATACTGAATGCTTGATATCTTTATGAAAACTTCGTAGATACAGGTACTTGTATTGTCATCGCAGTTCTCCTCTTATGCATGTCACTGCTCCGGCTATTCCTTGTGGCAGCCTCCAGCACTGTGTTTTCGTTTCGACACTAACATGATGGGTTTCGGAGCATGGGAAAGCAAGATCCGTCTTGCAACTTCCGCAACATGTATGGTAGGAAACCTGTTTCCATGAACAGGGCTGGGCATGGTCGGAAGCAGCGAACGCTGCCAAGCCCTGCACCCTCAACCGTTACCGCGACCCTTTGCCCGGCGCGCTGAGGGTTCACAAAACGATGGCCGAAAGCCCAACATGAGCTTCAGTTTGATTGAAGAACGACTGCAACTATTGTCGAACCGGATCTAGCGAGCAACGAACCGAGTCGCAAGCTCATGAACCTCCTAAACCCTAAACCCTGAACCCTAAACCCTACACCCTGAGCCCTAAACCCTGAACCCTAAACCCTAAACCCAAAACCCTAAACCCTGAACCCAAAACCCTAAACCCTGAACCCTAAACCCTAAACCTGAAACCAAAACTCTACACTTGAAACCTGCAGTCACGGCACCGTTTCTTTCAGGTCCTCCGCCAGGCGAAGGGCAGAGAATGGCAGGCGCCCGCCAAGTTTCTGCCGCTTCCTGCGGGGTTCAGAGTCTGTCTGGTTCTTAGTAGGGAGTGGGATTCCTTTAAGGGTTCCTTTGAGGGTTCTTTTAAGGGTAACTGTGAGGGTTATGCTGTGGGGGTTTAGGGTTCTTAGTAGACTGTCTGGTTCTTAGCGGGGAATGGGGGAATGGATTATGGGGACTATCATAGGGGATGAAAAAAGGAACTACTATAGGATCCATTCCCCCATTCCCGAAGCACTAGGGAGGAGACTCTGGATGTAGAGCTCAAGTAAGGCCTGGGCTCAATATTCCGAAAATTAAGGGTACCTTACCTTGGGATCCTTCCAACAAGGATCCTACTAGTCAGGGTACTATATTAGGGTCCCCTGTTTTCGGAAACTCCAATTTAGGCCCGGAGTGTTGGGTTTAGGAAGTCCCAGGCCCTGACCCGTGAGCTTGAAGGTCTGGTTCGTTCATGCTCAGGGTGGGTCAGAGCCTGAAAGCCCAGAGACTCCGATATCCCTTAATTAAGGAATATTCCTTAAATCATATTAGGGATCCTACTATAATTTCAGGAATATTCCTTAATTAAGGGATATTGGAGTCTCTGGGAATTGCGCTTTCGGACTTTGGGTTTCGGGGTCTCCGCGGTTCTATGGTTGAGGGTCTTGGGCAGAAGCTCTACGTACATGAAGAGTTTCGATCTTCGCTCTCCAAACCCGAAACCCTAAACACCAAAATTCCGGGCCCAAGGTAAGCCCAAACTCCTTCACCCTGAACCCTAAAGGCCCAGCCTGTCGTGGTCGCTTCGTGGGTCGTTCTTCAAGTGGACCCCCTGAGTGGAGGGACTCCTCTAAGGGGCTCCGTAACTTGGGGTTTAGGGTTTAATAGTTTAGGGTTTCGCAGGTTTAGGGTTTTGGGATTAATGGTTTACCCCGTTATACCGGGTTTAACGGGGTCAAGGTTTCCTTAATCTACCACAACCTATCTTCCGCAGGTTCCCAGTCCAAAAGAAACCTAATTAGGACTTTCTAGGGTACTAAGAGGCCTTACCTACGATCTAGGATCCTTATGAACTTGAGGTATACTCCGAAATTTAGAGGTCCCGGGCGCCGGAGACAGGGTTTCCTAAACCTGCCATAACCTATCTGTTGCAGGTTCCTAACTAGGCCTTTTTCTAGACTTTGTAAGGGGTGGATTAATACGACCTAGGGCGGCAGGATTGAGGGCTTTAAGATTTTAGTGCTCGAGGGCTTTGAGGCTTCGTGGTTCGTCTTTTCCGCTTCTGCATTATGTTTGGGCACGCATGCAACATGCACTCAAAAGGATAATAAACCCTAAACCTAAACCCTAAACCACCCCTGGACGGGTCCAGGTCACCTGGTGCCGCAGCGCATGCAGCACCTGGCCGATGTAAATTGAGCTGAACACATCTCGGCGGACTAGCCGAAGTAACTGTTGTACAAGAGTTATATGTTACATGTGACATGCTGTACGTGATATACCATGTTGTGTATATCTATTTATGTATACATACATACATACATACATTTCGCTTTCGCTTTCGAGGCAAAGAATCCGAGTTGGATGCAGCCTAAGGTGCAAAACTAATTAGAAAAAGGTGAGACGCCGTGGGTACTCGCCAGCACCGGGAAAGTTGGCGAGAATCTGGTATCCTCCACAATCGATGCTTACAGGAGCAATCTTCCTAACTACTTCGAGGCCTGGACATGGGAAGTGCTGCACGACACAGAGGGCAGGTCGCCCGGCAGTCCAGAGCTGCAAAGTACCACGCACAGCATCGGCAAAAAGCCGGAGGCGCAGGAGGTGAGGAAAGAGTTGCTTGTAAGAGCGCAAGGATGTAGGGAAAACCAGGGAGGACAGCAAACCAAGGAGACAAAACCCTCGAACCGGACCAGCACTCTGGCACCAGGAGGTGATGTCAATCAAACTCGGGTCGCGGAAGCAAGAATCGTGGGACACAAACTCAAGTTTGTCGTCATCAGAGCAACCTGATGGCCGATTACGGGCACAAAGCCATGTCCCGGTGCAACAATCTGCTGTCGAACACTCGATGTGTAACAGCTCAGTAATCAGCCATGGCAGGATGGTTGCGGCATCACGAAAGGTCGCGATACCATGTTGCACAGCAATAGGGTCCGGGACGAGCCAAGCAACAAAATCAACTCGAGTAAGGAAATCGGCAATTCGATGGTGCCAAGTTGCCCATTCTACGGAGATCTCCTCACACCTCTCAAGCTCTTGATGCAGAGCTTCTTGCCAAGCAGTGGCAGTAGCCCGGAGTCTGGTAGCTTGCAGACACTGACCCTGAAAGGCAGACCGTACTGCCTCGAGTAGCTGCGCGAAATCCCCTTCTGGGGGGGGGTGTGCGAAAATATCTTCGAGCTTACGGAGGACCTCCTCAGATGCTCTCTGGCTCTCGGGGATGTACAATGGATTACATCCTCTTGGCACAGGACCAGAGGCAGTAACAGCAGGACATGGCTGATCAGCTCCGGAGTAGAAGCGTTTGCTGCCTTTGCCTGGCTGGGGGTCACACGTGGTACCGGCGGTTGCAAGAGCAGCAAGGCATGCGCGAGAGTGCTTGAGATGGTTGCAGAGGCGGAAGTTGGACGCAAAATGTCGGAGACAAATCTCGCATCTCTGGCCTTCGGCAAAATATCTTTCCTCTCGGACACGGCCGTGGCACTTAAAAGCGTGGTGACTCCATTTGCGGAGGTCAGAAAAGACCTGTCCACACACAGCACAGAGTTCGCTGGCAGACTGGCCAACAAGCAGGTCGTTCGCCGGGTGTGCTCCCTTAGCAAGGAGGAAGCGCAACAACAAACCATGGTAGTGCCCAACTTCGGCACTCCAGGTATCTTGTAGTTGTGCGTAGTGGACAGCCTGTGAAATGAGCCTTTTCCAGACCTGGGGCTTTTCCTTAGTCAGTGTTGTCAAGGCCTGCCAGTCAGCGAAGGCAGAAATGTCATTTCCAGCGCGGCTGTGTTGGCCCCTGATCCAGGCAAGGGAATCCTGCACAAGAAGGAGCCACTGACAATCATAGTGGAGGATGGCCCAAAACTCTGGAGGAGCTTTGGCGAGGGTGATGGACAGGTGGCGAAGCCGAGCAGCATGAAGTTCGGTACAGACATTGGGGAGTCTGGCTACAGCAAGGATAAGCCCCGCGCCAAGGTGTTGTGCTGCCTCTCGATGGTACGTTGGACGTAGCATCTGCCGTGCCATTGCGAGCAACGCCCCTTGGAGGGGTTGCAAGGCAGCCTCTTCCTGGTATACCCAGGTACCCGCACCGAAGTACAGAGTAGAGGCAACAACAGATCGAAACAACAAGGCCTTCTCACGGTGCGTGATCAAAGGTGATGCAAAAACTGCTCGACGGTGCTTGCGAAACGCCTGCCAAGCTTGTGCAACACGGGCACGTAGTTCAACACTCAAAGAACCCTGCCAGTGCAGAATCCCACCTAGGTGTTTGTACTTGGCAACAAAGCGAAGCTTAGACGCGGGGTAAACCTGTGGCTGGAGCTCTATCCCAGGTTGTGGGTTGCGGAACAAAGCAGCGCGCAACTTGCGTGAGCCCCTTCCAACAAGAGATACGATGGCTTCTGACTTGCCAGGATCTAAGTTGGGGTGCAGAAGAGCACGCACACACTCATCAAGCAGAACTTCTGCGGCTAATTTGGTGTCAGATATGAGACCATCTGCACTGGCGGACCAAAGCAGCAAAACAAGGTCGTCCATCCATGACACGTCGATCTTCGCAAAACAGCGGAGAAGAGGTAGGAAAATACTACGTCTGCTAGGGAATCACCCGGTCGCGTACCAGCCTGCACGGCAGCAAGATGGCCATTGATACTGAACCAGGAATCTGTTTGAAATTCTGCGAGAAGCGCTGAAGCCCAGGGCGACGCGCCCGCCTCCCTGATGAGAGAGGCTTCACGAATGTATGTATGGAGTTCCTCGATGCCTGCAGGAGGTATGCCGAACGTCTTCAAGACATACGCGACGTGCTCATCACTGAGATCGCCCCCGTGAACAAGTGGGCGTGCGACACGGTGGAAGGCTTCACGGAGATCGAGGAAAATTAGTGCAACGCTGTGGCCCTGCCTCAAAGCTGCCTGTTGGAAGGATCTTGCAGCTTGCGCTGCCAACTGGACAGGGAAGCCTCGCCTTCCTCCAATTTGTAGAGGGGAGGCAAGCGCTTCTAGCCAAGCCCCGCATTTGCTTCTGAAGGCAGAGTGTATGCACTTGCCTGCGTTGCTGGAGACTAAGATTCCTCGGTAGCTTGCACACTCCTGCTGCGGTCCTTTGGCTTTCCAAATCTTATGCATTGTCCCACCTTTCATCTGCAGTGGCTCTGTAAGCCGGAGTGCAGTCTTAAGCATGATGGGGTATAGCACGGCAGAAAGGACAGGCGCTTGGCATTTCCAGACTTCTGCAGGGAGCTGGTCGTTCCCAGCTGCACGTCCTACTTGGGACCGACGCATTGCGTCCTCAAGTTCAAAGCGCGAAGGAAGCTCGGCAAGAACAACTTCGAGATCTGAGATGTCAACGGCATCCTGTCGAGACAGACAGTGCGTGATGTGCTCCTCAGGAATGACTGGACCACCGTGCTCAATGCCACTAAAATGTCTGAGCCATCGCTCGTCAGCAGCATCAGGGGTGGCAGCATGTGTGCCATCCTCAAGGAGTACAGCCGGCAACGGAGCAGGCCCACGCTGTTTGCGGCGGGGTGGCCCGACAAGCGGCCGGAGCTTCGCAACAACGTCGCGCGTAGCAAGGCTACATGCAGAGGTCGCAACCTCTGAGAGGTATGCCCTTCTGTCTTGTCCGAGGGACTGTCGAAACACAGGCTTTAGTGTCCTAAGCTCCTTGACAGCCTCGAACAGATGGGCAACTTGCGTAAGGACACGGAAAAAACCGATCACAACTGTCCTCAGAAGCAAATCGCCGTGCGACCAGGCAACAAAAGCCCAGTGGAGGCAACCAGACTCAATTCCAACACTGGCACGGTGTGCTTGTTTGCGCCACCAGACACGTTGCTGGCGGAAGTTCCAAGTCGTGTCTGAGAAGAAGGTCCTCCGACGGGAAGTTCGCTGCTTGGGAAAGGCTTCGGCGAAGCCCTTCACAAGATGCTCCGTAACGACATGGTAGTGATTATGCACATTGACATTCCAAGGCACTTCCGGTACAGTGCTGCAGATTCGGTGGATTGTTTGGCGGGACTCAGGCAACAAGAGCCTGGCAGTGTCAAAGCGTGTATTCTTTGGGCCATGACGAAACCCTGGGGGGAGTGTGACCTCGACGTCGAGTCTCACCGCAAAATGGTCGAGTCCGGCCTGCCCAAAATCGACTTCATATAACACTGCAGAACCTCCTTCGCCAACAGGCCAAGAGGTGGGGATAAGGATATAATCGATCCTTGAAACTGCCTGACCGGCAGGAGCAACCCATGTATGGCTCAAGCCATGATGGCAGGCAGTGTATGTCGAAGGGAGCCAAAGGTCGAGTCGTTGTATAAGGTCGAAGAAGGCAGAGGGAGGCTCGTGTTCATTCTCCCAAACGATATCGCCGATTCGATCATGCACTGGAGCACAGATGCGTGCATTCAAATCACCGAGAATGATAACCCGATCATGCCTGGCACAGCTGTAGGCCTTGGCACAGAACTCTTTCCACCAGCCGTCCCTCTCTGCACTTCCGGAGGTGGGCGCGTGACACACGATGATCACTAGTCGGAAAGAATCCTTGACAAGCCGGACAATAAGGCATCTTGGGGACCAATGCAGAACACTGAAGTCGGCAGTGTCACAATGGATTGGCCGGTTGCCAAACCATCCAATCGGGATTGATCGCGATATCCACAGCTCTACACCTAGATTACCTTGCCCGTCACATGCGGAGATAAAGCGAATGTGGCTCTGCGACGTGACTGTAGAGGTGGTCTTGGCCCTAGTTTCCTGCAGACCAATGATGGAACAACCAAGGAGCTCTAACTGCTCTCTGACAAAGGGTACCCTGTTGGGCTGGGCACCTGGGGCTTCGCAGAGTGTCTGCACATTGACAGAGACGATCCGAACTGAAAGTTGGAAGGCAGTGCTATCAGTCGATTTGTTGGCTGCAGCAGCAAATGCCGTTCCAAAGAAGGCCTCTGGTTCAAGCCGTCGTGCCTCTGAAGCACCTTGGCCTCCTGGGTCAACTAGGAGACCATCGAGCAGGACTGGTAGTGTGCCATCAGCGGGAAGCGCAGCAATGGTAAGCCAGAGCCATTCAAGGGTTTGGTCCCTGGCACAACTACAATACCACCAGAGAAATTCTGGTATCGTGCTGTTTTCTACAAGTTCATTGCCTGCGAGCACATCAGCGAGTTCATTATATGGGTCCCC